ACAAAAAGTACAGTGAAAAAGTACATCACTGGGGAAACGAAACAAATTACAAGAAAAGATGAAACACAAGTTTCCAAAGGTAGATCTAACAGTTTTCAAACTTTACTCTTCACTGTCCGAGAATGCGAGCATGAAAAAGCGGGATATTCCACACGACGACCTTCTTTCCCATACATATGACGGATATTGTAGGCATAGAACTAAATATTTTCACCATATATTGAGAATCGAAAAATCCAGGACGAAGGACTAGGGAGCCTACAGAACCTTGTCAGAGTCAATCTTTTTCATAAACTAATCACGCATAAACATCATCACTTCGTCCAGAGACAAGCTTCTAATTCTTTTCAGGAAGAGACCGCATTGCCTGAAAATTCACATTATGATGTTAAGCACATGGAACGTGGTAACTGAAGGTAGCTTAAGTGCAAAACCAACCTTGGTTTTCAAACGTTTGCCCTATCGAAACCGAGGATTCGACAAGTTGAAGCCACAGAGTAGAATTATCTAATAGACCTTTTCCCTCGAAGAAAGTGTTCAGATCCACCACCAACTAATAACTAACGAAAAGGGTGTCGTTTTGGAAATGCGAAAAAGTGAGGTCTCGCGATCCAAGAATGAAACTCTGAAACTGGAAAAGAAAGAATGAAAATCTGCAAGTGCACAGCACGGTGTGGATTTATCAGAAATTTGAGAGAATGTTCACGAGCCTAAATCACTTCATGTGTGTTATACTAGAAAGTGAAAGAGAAGAAAAGAAAACAACCGAAGCGGTCTATGGAATGAAAACTGGGATAAACACAGGTCAGAATCAACACTATGGGGGATTACTTTACAATAGGCGAGAGACTAGTCCGGCGAAGACAGATGCGCTACGAAAAAAAAGAAAAACTTCAAGATTACATACAGGCACGAGACCTAATTGAGTTCTCATTATGGAATATTTCATCGTTCTGAACAAAAACAGTAAAATAAGCTGCAAACCCGGAACTCATTGTAGTTACTCTGACGAGAGAATTAAACATCTGCAAAATGCTGAAAGCAATAGCCATTTTGAAACCAGTGATCGAGAAAGTGATCGCATGAGCATCGAAGCGTTGCTAAAGGACGCCGTGAAACAACGCTAATCCCTTGCTCCGATGACAACTCGGGAGTACGGTAATGCCACTCCGGGATTGCCGCGTTGCGGCGTGCCGTGCGCGGCGTGTGCGGCGTCGCTTGGCTTGCCGACGATAGAATCACACGAGTCCCCTTGGCAAAAAGCCAAGAGAGCTGCACGCGACCGCGCCGCGCGGATGGTGTTAGCATAAACGTGAGGGCGGTGTAGCAAGGAATTACGACTTTCCCACGGCCCCGTACTCTGACCCCGTGCAGTTTTGGGCGGGGGACCACGACATCGACAGCTGGGGGGC